GGTTTCAACCACCGCCACGTGGTCTCATCAGGGGGAAGAACCACCTATCGTCAACCCTCGTACGCAATCCCTCTTACCACTAACCCACCTCCGCCACAAGCCAGCGGCATCTCCGGAGGATAACCGCAGGCACAACGGCGTAGGACGCGGAAAGAGTTTTGAAGTCGCAATGTTCCTATCTATAGACCTTCCTAGGATAGTACTAGTGCCCATAGGTATTACCTCGAAGCTTTCCACAAGTACCTTACTCATCCATKAGTACAGATACACAGACAAGCAAGAAAACTCCCCACGTACGGGCCTACTCTTCAAAAACAAAAGTTGATAGGCACAKGTCGACARTCRACTCATCGTACAGAGGCCGGCCGCGCCCAGGCCCACGGGTGGTACAGTCAGGTAACCCATATCGAAACAAACYCAGGARRAAATRCACAAMAAAACAMAAAAACAAAAAAACAAAAGYCGATCYGATCCGAACCAAAAAATCAAACAAAACGACWAAACACCCGACAAAGCGCGAAGCAGGCAGGGGGGGAACAGACCCCAAGACCACAACGGGACAGTGTCAGCTGTCCGCTACGCTCCAGAACCTTCGGAAAAAAACCTGTCCGAACATACCAGCCATTCCGACATATCGCCTTCTCAGATCAGGGGAAAACAGACCCGAAGAGCACTCTGCTCCAGAGCCTACGGTAAAAAAAAAACCGCCCGAATCCTCCTCCTCCCCTAACCCGGAATTTTTCGGTTCCGCACTACCCACCTACCTACATCGTAGTACAATCCATAAACAAAAAAATAGTAATACACTATAAAAACAGTCCAGTTATGTCGTGAACAAACAATAGTAATACACTATGAAAACAGTCCAGTTATGTCGTGAACAAAAACACACAGAAGTCCAGGTACCTACGTCCTATGATGATACATCCGCTCCTACACCGCTCAATCAATCCCTACAACATCACTACAACAGGCACTGACTCATTCGTCAACCTCCTCCCGTACTAATAACGCTACTTACTTAAACAACCACTCGACCGTCGTCGTCCAGATCTTATCCCTTCCCACGGCAAAATGCCGTACCACTCTCTCAAAGAAAAGTGGTGGGAAGTCCTTCATGCGTGACTCCCTCATCAGATCAAGGACACGCATAGGTATCATCCATCGCCGATTCGTGTTCCTGTCTATCCGGTGCAGTTGGCTGGAGAGAACCGCACTTTTCTGGACCTTGCTTCCCCATGAACGGTATGACTGCCTGTTCTTGAACTCCAACATCTCGCCTTCCCAGATCGACCTTTCGTTCTTAGTCAACTGGTAGCAACCGACATACGGTTGGATAGCATCAGCCACCATACGAGTACCCAAAAACTCCCATTCCCCCCGACCATCATCGGTTCGCTTCAACTGCAGGTTCCTGGGATAGCAGTTCTCAAAAGCATCCCTGATTTCCTCGGTACTCAGCAGGCTACGTCGTCGTTGCACCACAATCAGGCTGACGTCATCCATTAGTTGCAGCCCAAAAACATCCCGCCRTATATTACCCAAACTCTGCAAAAACTGAAACTCAGCCAGTGCACACATAATACAYGCGAGTGGCGGGCTCGTAATTTTCCCCATGGGGATGCCCACCACCTGCCTGAGCAACAACCCCRTGACACGTGTGTACGTGTGCCGCAGTTCAAAACTTACGAACGCCTTCACATCATGCAGGCTAAGCTGTCTCCAATGGTCGTTGCTTGTCGTCCGACCAAAGGAGCTGCCCTTACCCCATGTGTTAACGCGAATGAAGTCTCTCCTTTTATTGTTGTGATACTCGACGATCCACTCCACGGCTTCGATGATATCGATATACGGGAGTTTGGAAAATATATCCTTGATGTCGTAAGACATCACGGCATGCTACCATCGATCCGCTTAGCGATCTTTTTGTTCAACCCTTCCAATCTCGGAACCAAATCTGACACCGATCTCAGATTGAAATGCCGGCTGCTTGGGAGAGTAAACAACATATGGTTCAAAGCTTTCGCAACAGCCTTATACATCCTAACAGTCGGTTCCATGAACGTTGGACAGATCGGACGGAACCATGTCAGGTCCTTGTGTTTCGGCATAAGGTAAGCTTCGCCAAAACACCCTTTCTTCTCCCAACGTGTGAATGTCAAGATCCCTTTCTCCTTTGCTTCCACTCGCATACGGTCCTTCACCTCCTCTTCCTTCGCACGTTCGACGATATATCCAGGACTACACACAAAAAGCTCCATCAGTGCGTCGAAGTATATCTTCGGACACAACACCAGTGTCTCCCCTGGGTTACTATCCAGGGGGGTGAGGACCAGTCCATCCAGCCTGACCTTGAGCTCTTTAATCTTGTTGACGTCAATAAAACGGGTACTGCAATCCGCTGGAGCCGTCATACAGCGTGTCACGTCATCCTCGCTGATGGATGGCGCCGTTCCCCGGAAGTTCACCCAGGACTGTATACCATCAGCCATTTCCTTGCTCAGCAACCTCCCTCGGTTTGGATGCGACTACCTTGGTACATTGTTGGCATTCCATATTAAAGGATCGATATCCTCCAATTCCTGCAGGCGAAAACGCACGTGATCTCCTACCCTGGGGTAGGGAAGACCTGTACATGTACAGGTAAGCACCTCAACCTTCGAGTACGAACGCTGATTGTGCAACAAACAAGCGATCGAGGGGTTCTTGACCCACACAATCCGAATGTTATTACGTGCCACGTTTCTCATGCAAGCCGGGATCGCCAAACCCTCAATCTTGTCGTTGAGAACCTTGCGCACCTCCACCAACTTGATTCGGTCGTCAAACTTCAGACGGACAATCAGTCTGGCGTTCAGGCTCCAGCCAAAGACCTCCTTCATAGCGCATGCTATCATCCTACATAGAAAAGATGTAGTGCTTGGTTTTTGAAAATCAGCCGCAAACCCCGTTAAGTCGAATCAACACCTCCATAGAGCACTTCTTCAGCAAACCGACACGTGCTGGGAAGCGTAGGATCGACAACAAGAATTTCTTGTCCGGACCGCTCTTGGGCTTCCACCTTCGTAGGTGCCTAAACACCACCTCCCCTCCTTGCTCCATCCACACTTTACACATCCTTAGTTTACAACATACTCCATCACGTCGTACAATAGAATCCCCAAACGAGTTCCGCACGGACTTCCACCCTCCACACCACAAATTACCACCCTCAGTTTGCAGCGTAAAACTCCTGGTACCTGCCATCTCCAWATCAGACAGCAAACGATAAACATCCATGCTGTATTCGACGTCGGTGTCGGTCCTCACCCGAACGGGCGTAACGGCTGCTCGTAGCTTTCGAGGTTCCTCCTTCCGCACTCGGCACCGTTCCTTGCGCCCCTTCCTTCTATCGCTTTTCCCGCCCTTCGATYGCRGGATGCATGCCGTGTTCAASCTAGGGSACCACYGTTGAATATAGACKCGTTCCAGCATCGCAAGCTYAGATGCAATACATCGATCGAYAGGTAACATCACRTATGTTGCAATGCCGAAAGATCGCCACCATCTATAGACGTGGTTAGATTTCTTTCCTTGCTTATATACCGAYACGWGCTCMGCCCATCGAACGCGCATTCCCCTAMTCGTCTGACYKACGTACTGTGCTKTACACTTYGGGGATGCTAGGATATACACACAGCTACTATCCTCACATGTAAAAACACGCGATCCAYACCTAACRTACAATGCGACCCACGATTCCGTGCATTTCCACAACCAACGGATTTCGCCTTMYAATGCCAACATAATTACTACARGAYGGTAAATCCTCTCCACATCCGTATCARAAGGACTCCCTTTCCGAAACTCAATGATAYGAAAACAAAGAGTCCAAAGCTTGGGGATGCTTCACGCATCGCCGCKTTCCTCGCTGCTCRCCTCGTGCTGGAGTTCTTCTTCAACKTGCTCCACGTRTTCCACTTGACGTCCCTCCTCSCCGTACGCCACTTGGGATCGCTTGTCCGCCAGCGCGAGSAGGATCGRCATCTTCYTGCACTCCGTCCCCAGCTGCACACCCTCTTGTGCACAGAGTCGCTTGAGYTCCTCAATGTCGAGTTTTCCCAGAGCYWGCAGATTATCCGTAACGAATTTGAGCTTACCKCTTGATCCCGGTGGTRYCRRGATCTTCTTCTTGGTTGTAGCACATCSCCGTGGTGTCCGTCCYACTGGGGATCTCTTCATCKGCGGATGCCTCACGCTCAGATGTAAACGYCGYKTAGMTGTYTTCCTTGTCSGGGTCTGCAGAGGTGGACTATCCCCAATCGRYAAGTCTTCCCCTYRWTTCCTCTTCTCAGAGAYAAYGAGTTGTTCCRTACGGTTGCTAAGCGCGTCGACTTCGCTCTCGTAAGAGYCGTACGACTCTTCGTCAGACKSTACCTCCACTTTCTRYTTAMCTTTAGCAGCTCGCGCATCGTCAMTRTGCGGTAACCCCTCCCGATCTCGTAGACCAAGCAACTGCTCTCGCAATCYGCCSATGTGTACGGACAACTCCATGTGCATCTCCTTCTTCATCTGCTCACGTTCCTTGGCCACTTGTCGCATCTTATCTTCCTTTCGYTGCTTCYGCCRCTCAGCTGCTTCGCGTGCCTGTTCTTCTTCKCGCYTGGCTTCCTCCTCCYGTCGCTTCGGTTCCAATTTCTCTTGCTTCCGCTTGGCTTTCTCCTCCTTCTTCTTGTTCTCGACGTCGATATGCTCCTTCATGGTACTGATTGTAGATACTAGTTCCTTGATTTGTTGCGTCAGAGTCGGATCTTCGAAAGCCGATCTTGGTTCTTGAGGACCTCCAGGACGTCTTCGTGAGAACGATCTCCCCCGTTGTGTCGTACTCCGCCAAAAACCTTCATCGCCAAGGTTCGGGCACTGGTTTCGGTAATGCCCAGGCTCGCCACATTCGAAGCATACAGGTTGAAAGCGCCTGGGGGGTGGTTGGTCACGCCCCCTCTCCTGATTACTAGTGCTTCCATATTGAGACACCCGCTCACGAATGTATTCGCGTCCTGAATCCCGACGTCCATCATATCCAACGTCTCGTCTTTGGTCGGAGTATCGATCCTCCCGACCGTAATCCCGTCTTCCCGTACTCCCCATGGTACACTTTGTGTCGTCGGGCAGACGTCCTATCTGCTCAGCGCTCGCCTCGATGCTTCAGCGGGCCAAAGCTCACGCATACGAACGAAATCAACACACGTCAGGCAACCCCTCCACTAAGTAGCGAAAGGTTCTAATCGTAGTTCCGCAACTTTCCGCATAGCAAAAAAACAAGGACTCAATCGCAGACCAACAGCCTTCCGTATAGCAGACAACGAACATAGAACTCCACAGCCTCAATAAGACATGCTCACACACTCCCAACCATCATTTCCAGGTTGGTTCACATGCGCCTTCAGTAGGTGATTACTGATTTGATGATGATGTACATACATCGAAGATGACATACATCACACGTATATGGTGAGCATAACACAAACGTACAAAGTTCAAGATACTTCAACCAATCGTCAAAGAATCCGAAAATGATTGCGCAACATAAAACTCATAGTCCGGCGGGTATGGCACCCCGACCGGTTTCAACCACCGCCACGTGGTCTCATCAGGGGGAAGAACCACCTATCGTCAACCCTCGTACGCAATCCCTCTTACCACTAACCCNGGTTTCAACCACCGCCACGTGGTCTCATCAGGGGGAAGAACCACCTATCGTCAACCCTCGTACGCAATCCCTCTTACCACTAACCCACCTCCGCCGCAAGCCAGCGGCATCTCCGGAGGATAGGCGCAGGCACATCAGCGTAGGACCCGTTCGAATGTTGATCTTTGCTATTTACGGTTAGTATCTCTTAATTCGTGCAAGTGGGACCTAGCCCACGGTCCGGTCCCCAGCCTTCCCGGCTGGTGGGAGCCTGTTCCTACGAACTGCTCCTGTGTAATTGACACTCCACCACCCACCACCCCTGTTTGCCTACTACGGCTGTAACCAAAAAAACAGGCAACGGAGTGGCCTGGTTGCCACCCCCGAAGTCAGTGAGCTCCGGGTAGAATTGTGAGGTCCCCGACAGTAAATTCGACCCGGAGTACTGACAACATCAGCCAGCCTAGCTTACAGGCAACATCTTGCAGAACCCGAAGTTACTGAGTTCCAGTTCCTAATGCGTACCCAATACTACGAATAAAACAGTTTGCCTACCTGTCTTGCGCTTGCGAAGCGACTAAGAGCTTTTGGCTTCCATAATCCATGTAACATTGATGATTCTTCGACTAAGTATTCTAACTTTCACTTACTAAGCTAAAGTCTGGGACTACCACGGCCCAGAGGACCCGAAACCAGGTCCTAGTCCTACTTTGGCACTCTATTTCTGATACTGGCCTACCATGACCCTACCCCACCGAGTGCCCTGGTGAATACTCTTCCTGCTTTTCTCCTCCAGTTGGCTTTGATCTCGTTCGTTATTGTGGTTTTGAACAGGATCTCTGCCTGTACGTCAGAGAGCCCTTCCTGCTTGAACCTCCGACTGTTCCCGTCCGTTCAAATTACCCACATTAGGGTGGCCCTTCCTACCTGTGCCACGTAGGCCCCATCCCCTATCTTCTGGGAGGTCTTCGGGAAGAGCTACTTGTAACCCCAATCTCTCATCCCTCATGTCATTTCTCCCTGTCAGTCTCTTCCAGTGTGATGAACACCATCTCCATCCTTTCTGTGATATGGGGCAGCTCCACCTCATATGCCGCATATCTTCATACAGCCACCCGCACCAGTCACACTTCACTTCAATTCCAGGCATGCCTCTAATCTTTAGCCAAGTGGTTGTTGGAACCACTGGGTGGCATTGCATCCACAGTAATCCTACAATCTTCGGAGGAGGAAGATTCTTCAGTTGTCGCCAGAGCTTGTTCATTTCTTGCTCAGTGGGAGGAGTTGTCCCTGGGCATGTCTTTTCCCATCTGGTATTCAGGATCTCCATCGTTCTTTTCAGTTTCCTTAGTGCCTTCGATGCTGTGTTGAGGTCATATCCGTCCAATCCCACCGTCTGTCCTTCCTTCGTTGTCCACCCCCATGCTGCGGGATCTAACCTTATTGTCTTCAGAGTTTCCCCAGGTACTGCTATCCTATAGTCTGACGGTTCTCCCTCTCTCTTGTCTTCCCTTCTAATTCTTACCTCCTCCCAGTTTTTTAGTCTGTAGCTCTCCTTGGTTCTATGAGGGACAAAAGTGCCATCCTTTTCTAGCTTTGCTACAAAGACTTCCAACTCACATTTGCTGTATTCGTTCCGATTGATTAGTTGGTAGTACCTGTCTCCTTGGGGGTATTGTGCTTTGTACCATGTTCCATCTGGATTCAGTTCTGTTAGGCTGATGAGTTCCTTCCATTCTGGCCGTATGGCTGTGATCAGTGCATTTTTTCTTGTTGTCAGCTGGATTTGGTCCTGTTAGGCTGATGAGTTACTTCCATTCTGGCGGTAGGGCTGCAATCAGTGCATTTCTTCTTCTTGTCTGCGCTGATAGTTGTCCCAGTTTGTCCCAGTTTTGCCTTAAGTTCCGCTTCCTCTGTCCATTTTCCCATTTCCTCGTTCCACATATCTCTTATTGTTGAGACCCCTCGTTGTACCCATTTGAAACCAAAGCTTCTTGGGTCTCTTGATGCAGAGAAGACTTTCTGGTGTTCGTCCAGAATTCTTGGATTCCGAACAGTGGCTGGCGTAGGATCTCCTGTTTTGTTGTGGGGGCTGCATTTCGTTCGGCTTGACTCTTTTTCAGACCTTGATAATCTCCTTCCAAAACCTGGATTTTATCCTCTTGTTTAGAAAGGTGCAATCATCAGAGCCACCCAGATGTCTTCTTTTCGATTTAGCCCCCATTCTTTCATCAGAATTCTCTCCGCGAGTATTACCTAGTCTCGTTCTTTGTCCGCACCCCCTGCCTTTATCACCCATCTTGCTAGCATTGCCAGGTTCTGGGTTTCTGGGTCAATCATCGCTAAGCCGCCTTCTTCCCTTGTTCTATAGATGATCTCCCAGGCGACCTTGGCTATATAACCTTCCCCTTCTTTTGCCTGTGGTTTCCATAGGAACCTTCTGGCGACTTCTTTGATTCTTTTGAACAGGTCTGTTGACAAGAGCTTCACCACTGCTACATATCTGATTAAGTTGAAAGCTGCCGTGTTAAGCACCAAGGCCGTCCGAAGAGTGACAGATGTCTGGCCGACCTCCAACTTTGGATCCTACCAATCACTTTCTCCTGTATTATGATCTCTTGCACTGCCGACCAGTCTTCCATGGCTATTTAAACTCCAAATAATCTTTCCGCGGTACATGTTGGAATCCACTTCACACCCCAGTTGACTGCTAGCTCCTTAGATTCGGGTAGGAAGAAGGTTTGAGATGACGAATAAATCGTCCGCTAGAGCTTTGACCCGACATTCCTTTCCTTCTCCCATATCCAGGCCATGAATCTGAGGATGTTTCCTGATTGTCGCCAACAAGACTTCAAGTTGTAGCACAAAGTGCAGAGTAGCAAATGGACATTCATGTCTGAGGGGTCTTGAAAGAGAGAACTCTTCTGCGATTTTTCCTTTCACTACTACTGCTGTTGTTGAATATGCGTAAAGGACTTTGACCCAACTCCTGAAGGACGGGCCAAAACCCATACCTTCCAGTGTTATCATGACGAGCGTCCAGTTAACTCGATCGTAGGCTTTCTCTAAATCGAGTAACAGGATGACTGCGTCTTGGTCTTCATCCACCACGCTCTCCAGGGCTTCTATTGTTGTAACGACATTTTCATAGATAGACCTTCCTCTAACAAATTCACCTTGCTCCGGTCCCACCAGTGACGGTAAGCATTCCCCTAATCTCCTTGCCAATGTTTTTGTTAATAATTTGTAGGACACATTTAGCAAGGAGATGAGTCTCCGGTTTTCACCACCCTCTTGTCTTTTTTTTTGTACTAGGGGAGTGTGATAATGCCTCTTGTCATCGACTTTCGCAGCGTTTCGCCTTCCTGTATTCTGTTATATAGCTCCACCATATCCTCTCTCACTATATCCCAGCATGTCTAAAAAAAAACTTTACTGATAGTCCATCGTCTCCTGATGCCTTCTTCTTTACCATCATTTTGATGGCTTCTTGCAGTTCTTCTGAGGTTACTAGTCTTTCCAGGTTCAGTCGCTGGTATTGTTTCGGTCTGACATCTATCTGGTCCCACAACGTTGACTGTATTGACATGTCTTTGTCAATTTGTTGGATAGTTTTTCTTGTTGATAGGATATCCTTGAAGTAATTCATAGCGTAGTTGCCCATGGTTTCTAGTGTCATCGTCGGCGGCATCTCGTCCAGATGAGGGTGTTTCAACTCGTGCATCAGTGTTTGTTTCCTTCTTTGGGAGTAGTCTCGAAAATGTGTCTTTGGACATTCTATCCCTGGACACTATTCCTTTCTCCTTCAGGATCTGGCTCCATGCTTCCTCCTTCCATACTTGCAATTCTTCTCACTCCTTCAGTCTTTCTCTTCTCTCTTCAGCCCATGCCTGCTCTGATATGGGGTGCAGGCTCATCCTCTTTTCTGCCTCCTCTACCCTTTGTCTACATTTCACTTCTTCTGCATTTCTTAATCGTGCGGCAATCCTAGAGAACACATCAAATTTATGAGATGTGATCCGAATGTCTGCGTCTACCCACTCGGCATGGGATTTAAAGTTTCCACGAACTTGTTTCCAGTCCTCCCAGAAGGTACCTAGTCAGTCTTTCCATTCTTGATCCTTCAGGTTTTCGGTGTTCAATTTGAACCAACCCGGTCCTCTTTGTGTCTGCTGGCCCACTTCCATTTCCATTATCACCGACTTATGATCAGATAGAGAACCAAAATGTTCCGCTATCTGGATAACTAACTGAGTGATTCGCTTCCTAAGAAATCAGGAAGCAGTCTAGCTGACGCTTTACACCTACACTAGCCGATGTATTGCCGAACCAAGTGTACCCTGAGGCACTTGGGTTTATTTCATGAAAGGCATCAGGGGCTAGCCTCCATGCTTCCTTCTAGCGGATCAAGGTCGACGTGTCTCTACTGGTCTCTGCCTCCTTTTCTGAGCCCAAACCTGGGCTGATCACCTGATTCTAGTCTCCACTCACTATCATTCTCTCCCCGTTGGGAAGCACGTACGGTAGCAATTCAAAAAATTCCAATCTGTCCAATTTGTCATTCGGTGC